CATAAATCGTCTTTTCTTCATGTAATCTTCAAGACTTGAATCTTCCTTGAATACTTCTATTATGAGCAAACAATCTTTCTTCGAAATATCTTCGAAAGGCTTCTATGCTCCAAGTCTTGGAATCAACTCAACTACTGCACATGTAACATGGTTAATGCACAATAAAGAGTATGTGACTGCTTTTCCGCATAGCAGTCAAGGAAACGGTTCATACTGGTTCCCCACCAGTACATAGCACATTTATCATCTAACTGTTTCCTGTATATAGATAAGTTAGTTCAATAGATAACTCATATAATCAATAACTTATCTAGGAAAACAGTGTTCTATTATAGCTGGTTCCAACCAACTGTTTTCAACACTTATTAAAACCTGTTTCCCATAGCTGTTTGTCATCATTCAAAACCATCATTCAAAACCTAAGGGACTCAACACATGTCAAGAATATTTCAAAACAGAACAATGTCAACACCCTAGAGCACGTGCACAGGAAAACAAACAGACAAGCACGCATACACACACACACATCTCTACACAGGAAATCAGGAACAGCCTTACCAAACCTTCAACAAATGAGGGTAGAGTGGGTTGCGAATGTTTGCTGCAGAACTGAGCACAATGGATTGGGTTCAACATGTTAGATAGATATTTTGGGGAACTTGTATAAGGTAGGGCAGAATTAAGTTGAGGTATTGTGTCCAATTATAGAATAGTACATACACACAACAGGCCTCAATGTTGTCAAATTGAACCCAATCCCCTCAATATTCTGCATTTTATCCCAATAATGTCTGCTAACACGATCACCATTTTAGTCTCAAAACTGTTTCGTATCAAAAGAAACAGCCAGAAGAAGTCTTTATAGGACGGGCATGTCATAGAACAGAATACAGTAAACATAGAAGCATGCGCAAATTCAACCTCTATAATATACTTACAAGTTACAAAAACCCATATCTAAGCAAAATGTCATGCCAAAAACAGAATTTAACAGTCAGTCAGATCAATCTTTCAGAATAATCAACCCATATACTACGTATTTTGATTTTTGAGGAACTTATACAAGGCAAGGTGCAGAAATTAATTTGAGGTTTAGTGTCCAAGTTAAAGATTACGGAGTACTCCATAGTCCATACACAACAAGCCACAAGGTTGTCAGTTCCACCCCGATTATGCATGCCAACATAATCACCATCTCAAGCCTCTTTGTGTCAAAACAAACAATTTGAAGAGCTATAAGATGGACATGTCATAGAAGAGAATAAACATGGCAGCAACACACACACACACACACACACACACAGCCAGAGTCGTGCAGAATAAAGAAGTATCAACAAGTGGTCTACGTATAAATACCAAAAACTTGTACAAGCTAAGGTAGTTTATACAGAATGACGGCCTCTAACTACAGTCACAATTGATGTCGATTAGTTGCCTCATACAACGAGTAGTAGCTCTAGTAAAATCGCTATAAACAGACTTACGAGACAGGATTAAAGTTCACCCCAACACGAGCCAATACAATGACTGACATTTTAACAATCACCATAGACTGAAACAGCAGATCATCCATAGAACCTATGTAACATGGTAAATTTGCAGAACAAGAATCACATCCTAGTATTCTGTAATTAACACCTACTGTTTTATACAAATCCTTGATCAATTATTGACAAAAAAATGTAAATGGAAGATGATTACACTGGCATATAACCATTTTAATTACTTGTTACAATTAACACTTGCCAAATTCAAGAAATTAAAGCATTTAACTTAAACTAAAATATAACAATTCAAGAAACTACATCCTAAAAAATTAAAGAAAGAACCTAAACATATAATTGAATCTTATTATTATGACTTGAATCTTGGAATAAAACTATTTTTTATTCCAAGTTTCTTGACACTTGACAGTCTAGTGTACTGTAACGATAATAACTAACTTTCCTCGATCGAGCTACAACGAAAAATCGCCCAACACGATAAATGACTTTAAACAAGCATAATAGATTGAAACAGCAGTTCATTTACAGAACACACACAGAATCATATGCTAATTAACTATTATTATTGATAAAAATGGGGTGCAACAAGAATAACACGTACTAATAAAAGTTATTACAATAGAAAACTTGCTAAATTCAACAACGAACTTAAACATACACATTGTTCTATTAAAGCTGCATTAGCTTAAACTAAAAATATAACAATTCAAGAAACTACATTACTAAAACGAAGAAATTAAACTAAGCATAGATTTACTAAGACTTGATTCATCAATTCTTGCTACATTTTATTTGTTGCGATAACTATAACTAACTTTGTTCAAGTTTCTTGGTAGTCTAGGGTACTTTATTTCCTCGGTCGAGCTCATCGATCTTACTTGCCATTAACCTTCTTGTTTGATTTTTCCTTCTGATTTGGCATTTTTTGTTTCAACTTATCAGCATAAGTTTCTCGAACTTGTTTATGCTTCTTCTTCGAGTCGACTTCATGATCACCTGAACCCTTAAAGTGGTAGGGAAAGAAGTGGTCTTGAATCCATGGCTTCCATGAATCTTCCAAGTTTGCCCGGTGAAATTTGAAGGTAAATTTAGAATAAAGATCTTCAAAATTTGGTTGAGATTTGTCGGGTTTAGATTGAGAATCTTGAGATGAAGCCATTGTTTTATTTCAGGCTAAGCTAATTAAGCAAGAATGAAGAATGCAGGGTAATAACTAACTTAACTACTTAACAGAATTTGTGACTTCAAATTGAAATGAAGGTCTAAACTTGGGTATTTTTAGAGTCTTGCATACACGGTTAAGTTAGGTTATAATTACTTTTTAAGTGGTTAAGGTTTACTTTTAATGATCAAGTTTTAAATGAATAAAATTTAATTTCATAAAGAAATGGAAATTAGAAATTTTACTCCAGTTTTGTTTACTGTATAAACACTACATACCCTTTTTTTTTTCTTTTTTTTTTTTTTGAATGGTGAACACTACATACTAAGGTAGGCCGACACTCTTAAAAATTAAGTAAATAATTTATACGGAGTAAATATAATATGAAGTAAATATAATACGAAGTATAAACTAAAAAAGTATGGAGTAGAGTAAATTTTATTAAGAATAAATAAAGACTAATCATACAAATAAATGTGTGTATTTGTAATAAATTCTCAAATTTTTACCAAATTAGAAATGTACCCCCTTTTTTGCTTATGCCAATTAAGGTTTAAACCTGTGTATTAGTCTTGCGTAATTTAAATTTTATATACAGATAGGTTAAAGATGATATTCTGGATTAACTTAATATTTTCATACACGGATTGGTTAAAAATGATATCCTAGACTAGCTTAAGAAAGTTCATACACGGTACACGACTGATAGGTTAAAGATGATATCTTAGATTAGCTTAAGGAAATTTAATAGTATAATTTTGATCACCACAAACTTTTAAATAAGGCGAGTGCACATGAAATAAATTTTGTACATAAGAGATATAATTGATATTGGTTGGGTCAGGGTTGTTGTGCATAAGCTAGCTAGTCTCAGTAGAGAATTCAATTATGTAAGGGTGTGGATCGAGAAGCTCCCCCCCTAGTGTAGCTCTTGATTTTGCTCGTGATGTACCTTAATCTTTTTCTCTCTTAATAAAAGCTGGTTGTTTGTGTAAAAAAAAAAAGGGCCAAACGTAGGTCGGGTTAATAGAAGGTTGATAATGGACGGATTAATAACCTATAAGGTTTAAAAAAATATATAGGATAAAACTATAATTAAGTATATTTGAATACGCAAATGTCCATGTAATTTTTTCACATTTTCTTTATTATCTACCAAATGACAAATTTTTAGGCCCTATATTAAGCCCGGCCTACCTAATAAGGTAATATCCATTAAAGACCTTGTATTTTCAATAAGCTAGGGCACTAAAATCTTGGCTTTGGCCCAGTTATCGATCATTAGGCTACCCCACCCAACAACTAAGTTTAATTATGGGTAATAAAATTGTAATAATAATTAAGTACGTGATAAATTATACTCCGTACTACACAATTGAAGTATTTAAAAATTACTCGTTCCATTTTTTTTTTCAAATATTGCAACTTGAGTAAGGGATCTACATCCTAGTGCACATTTTTAAATCAAATATGCTAAATTATGTAAGAGTAAAAGTTACATAAATGTGATATTATGAAAATATATACTAAGACAATAATATATCGAATTAAGAACATTGCTTGTTTTTGAATTCCATAATCTCTTCTTACTTCTAAATACGTACATATTTTAATGCTCCCTAAAAATAAACATACTAAATTATTCTACAAATTCATAATTTTGTTACTCAACAACTATTGGATTATAGCTTGTACCATTGTCTTCATCTTCTAGTAAATTGTAAAATTGTAAATAAGTAAATTAGTAATCTAATAATGTAAAATTGTAAATTAGTAAATAGTTTGCCGTTTTGGCTTGGATCAATAGGCCATGATCAACATTAATACTCAGGTTGCATTTGATTAACCTATAATTTTCAGGCTTCTGACTCTTATCACGAAAGTTAATGTATCTATCTTTGAACATAAGGGTTTAGCTATGATTTAAGACCTTAGAAAAAATTATATACAGTCTCTTGTATGGATTTGTATCATTAAACTTAACAACTATGGCTATTGAGCCGTCAAGGCAAAGTGGTAGTGTGACCCAATAAATCATAACCCACCCACTTAGACCACACCATGGGCTAGACTACATATGGTGAACCGGACTTATTAAGTCTGCGGGAACCTTTGTTCTTCCACTCCGTACGATGTGCTATTCTGACTAAACTTTTTCAAAACAACGTTGCAAGGTTCACACTTAAATTGATTTTAGGAGACGGTTTGAATTCAACTGTGAATCGTGATCGACTCCACGATTTTTTTTTTTTTTTTTAGTGATGGAGATGTCTTATAAGATGATGTACAAATTTAATTATACTCTAGGGATATTTAAAATTGACAGTGTTGGATTAAAAATTTTAAGGTAGTGAGCATTGATAAGTTTTGGTTAAATAGACCTATAATTTAGAATTTTAAATTTGTTTTATTGATCAGGGAAACGACTAAGAGGACAAGCATATACACATGCTTTTTTTCTTGAGACCATTAGTTAAGTAGTTAACTATGCATCATCTAATAAACCTTTTGTGTAACAACTGAAAAACTTGGTGGCTTTGGCTCTCTATTGGCAAAGTTAGGTGGCATTGGCTCGCTTCTAGCTACAATCGGTGGCTTTGGCTCTCCGGCAACGTATGGTGGCATTGGCTCGCTTCTAGCTACAATCGGTGGCTTTGGCTCTCCTGCAACGTATGATGGCATTGGCTCGCTTCGAGCTACAATCGGGAGTGTTGGCTCGTTTCTAGCAACGTATGGTGGCATTGGCTCGCTTCTAGTTACAATCGGTGGCCTTGGCTCGTTTCCGGCGACATTGGCTCTTGGTGTAAAATGTGAAAGACTCAGTGGTGTGCCAGGAGATGGTCCAGAGTGAGATGGCTTAATATAAATCTCACGAGCCGATGTTCCTTTATTTAGAAAAATCACAATATTAAAAATACGTAAGATATATAGATTATATACAGACAATTAACAAAAGAATCAACAAGTCTTATAAGTAACATTACATACATATGTGAAGTGCGGAAGTAGTATGCAAAATTTCAAGTCATAACAAATTACATTTTAATCAATTTCGCATATAATAAAATCTAGCACATCGTGGTGTATGAGTTTTTACTAAAAATAAATAAATAAAAAAAATACCAATGGAAAATATTTAGAAAAGAAAATTAATCGAATTGTATATACTTGTATACCATAAGAAGAAGCAAGGAGTAAGAGCATAAGAAAGGGGATAAACGCCATTTAGAGCACTGAATGTATGAGATAACAGTTTTGAATAAAAGCTAGTTTGTGTTTATGAATTGCTTTGCTTGTGAATGTATTTGTTGTGACAAAGTTGCTTAAGTGCTTAACTAATGATCTCTTTTTATAGTGGAGAATTGTCTACCAACCAAAATCAATATATATTCAATACTACCTCCGTCCTCGATTGATAGTCACTTTTGAAGAAAAATCACGGGAATTAAGGAGAATTAAAGAAAGTACATTGAAAATGTAAATTTACATTGGGTATGCAAAAAGGTAGAGAGAGAAAGTAATTAAAGTACATGGGAAAGTAAAATTTACATTGAAAAGTTAAATTTGCAAAAATATTTTTACAAATGTTAGAGAATTTTGGTAAAAAAAAATAATATTAATGGTACTTGAAAAAAGCAAATCTGACTAATATTTTGGGTGCCCAAAAATGGCAAAAGTGACTATCAATCGGGGACGGAGGGAGTATATCCATATATATTATTGAAACTCATGACAAGAAATGCAATTTTGTGGTGTATTACTAATTTTGTCATTTGGCATATAATGTTACACCATGTCATACCGATCCATTAATGATAACTATAATTTTCTCTTAAAAAATTGTTAGCATTGATATCTAAATTCTGAACCCATAAAATAAATAAATAAATAAAATCCTCTAAAGACACATTTTATGTCAATAATGTTATATTAAAGCAGTACTATGTTCATAAATATAAATATATATAGATTTTATATCCATACACTTTGTATATAAAAACAATAATAACAAAAGTGATCTCATTTTTTTCATTTGCTCATACATACAACTCTCTATGACTCTATATTTATTTTAAATATGTAAGTCAAAAATATGTTGAACTTTTTATGCTACTTTTTTCCACATATATGTCAAATTCAAAAAGTTTCTTATAACAATTTAAGAACAAAATAAACTAATAATATCTAGGATACTCAATATTAGATGACGAATTTTTATGTTCAATGTTTGAAAAAAAAAATAATACAAGTACTATTATAAAAATAATTAATCTAAATACGGAGTAATAAATATAAGTATATAACTAATCTATATTAATATTTCATACAATCATCATTAAAATTTAGTTTAAATATATTCACAATGATTCGGAGCATCACTCGGGTTAAAAACTACTCCGTAGCTAATACTCAAATATATATATATATATATATATATATATATATATATATATATATATATATATATATATATATATATATATATATATATATATATATATTTCACAAAAATTTAAAATATTTTTTTTTTTGACTCACAAATTTAACTATTTTTCAGAATGATATCATTCCATACATATTCTCTCATTAATTACGCCTTTTTTTCCTTCTACCTTTAATTCATACTTTATCTGTTTTTTATAACTTCCAATATTTCTGTTTTACATCAACATCATTGTGGAAATGCTACCGAGTGAGATGACTTTACCTGATGAAGAATGGAATTTTAAAAATAGAATAGTGGTCCAAAATTACAATATTTTTGTTTTACATCAGTGGTCCTGAGTGAGATGGCTTTACCTGATGAAGAATGATGTGGGCCTGGAGGAAATGATAATAGAATCATGGAATTTAATTTGCAGGAATTTTAGGATCAAAATGAGACTTAAAATGTTATTAGGCCCAAAATTGTTTGTGAATATAATTGCAATTTTTGGATATAATTTTGGAATGCAAATCATGAAATAACCCTGTTTATGAAAAAAAAAACCAAATTTATTCCCACCAAACAACCCCATAATTAGTATCATTATGTAATAAGATATGAAATCAAGCTAAGTGATACCATTACCAATCCAGCTACTAGCTAGTTCATTTGATTGATTACATCAATGTTATTCTTGCGATACATACGTTAGCTTAAGCGTGCAAAATAGAAAGCATTCCTAGCTACATTAGGATTCATTTAGAAGACAGAGCAAACTTGTAGGTTTTGCTGGGATTACAATCAAAATCCTTATCGCCTCCGAAACCATACTTGGTGTGATAGCCAGGGTACTTGCTAACCTTGAACTTGATCTCTTGAATTAGATTTAGTCTTTGATCACTTCCGATTTTTGGGATATCCCATTTTAGATACATCCCATTCGATTTCGAGGTGATGTGTACTTCACCATCTTCCTTGATCATCTTCTTTGCATTTCTTATGAAACCCCTTACAAGTTTTTTATGTGTACTACAAAATAAAAATAAGAAATATTTCTTGGCTAATTAAAAGAATAAAAACTCTTAATGTTGTAGATATGATAGAAAAGAAAATACTTGCTTCATTTCCTTACCGTATGTCATCATCATCTTTACCAAATTTGCCACTGTGTGGAAAATTGTAAATGATACGATCAAATACCAAGCTGTCAAGGAGAGGATGTTTTGCCATTTTCATGGCGTCGACATCGTGAAGGACCGTGCTACCTCGAGTCATCAGCTCTGCCTTGTTGCTGATGAACTTCCCATAGTTTTTGATTAAAAAGTCTGTTAACATATTCACAAGATTACTAGGTAAAAAAAAAAAGGCACATTTTTGTGAATTTTGTTAATATTATTGAACCGAACCATCCAGTTTGTTGCACAATAACTTAACACGTATGATCAAAGTTATAAAAAGGTTGATAGTTTAAGACTACATAGATATGGTTGTAACAAAAATATGACCAGATTTGACCACTAAAAAGGAATATTAATTAAGATTATTTAGAAATGAAGGACTACTTAATTATTCAAGGTTAAAAAAAATTTATAACGGTCAAGCTAGTACGTAACTTAGTAAGGTACGTACCTTCCGAGTTGAGCGAAGTGGCGGTAATGTTAGTAGCATCACCGAAAGCAACGGCCAAGCAAGCCGAGAAAGAGAAATCGCCCTCGCCGACGAGTAGAATCCTTTGAGCGTTGCTGTATTGCCCTATTTTCCTAACACTACTCGACACAACATGACTAATTGTAGTAGTAACGTTTTTTTCCAAGATAGTTTCTGGTATAACTTGTTCAACATGATATTTGATTAGTTGTTCTTTATATGTCTTCTTTTTCTTAGCATGTTCTTCATGATAACTGCTTAAATCAACCACATTGTGTGAGTTGTTTGATTGATCCAAGTTGTCCTGATGATTTTGGATTGTATCGATAGGATTCGAACAACCCGAGATCAATTGAACGTCGTCGTGATGATCGTATACGTTGATGCAATGGCTTTGTTGTTGGTTCTCATCATGAAGAGATAATTTTTGGTAATTGGCCTTATGATTATTATCTGATTTTGGTGCTTTATTTTTTGGCTTTCTACAAATCTTTCTCCATAAGTTGGACAAGATTTGACCCATTTTTTTTGTATAATACTCGTATTAGAAGATGTGAGAAAATGTTTGGTTATTGAGCAATTGATTGGGTTCCATTTTATACATAAGCATTTAAATTTAATTTAAGACTGCTTGAGTTGCACGCCTGATTAAAGGAATTATTGGATGTTAATTGGAATCTGAAAGGATGTTTAAGTTTCCAAGGAAAAAGGAGAAATTAAAATAGTACATAGAATTATGATACTCCATAAGAGAGTAATAAATGATGGTGAATTTATCTAGTTGCATGCAAAGTCCAATGACTGAAACTAGAAGACAATTTTTTTTTTTTTTTTTAATTACTCGTACTAACCTTTGAGATTCACTAACAAAACTCAAAAATATATATGATATATCTATACTCGGTCCATATCTATATCTATCTAATCAGATCCGTATAATATACCGTACTGTATAATTTATAGTCTAAAATTCTATATATATACTTATTATTATCTATATTTTTTATATGAAAAATGTTATACATAGCTCTTAGGGCTACATATAAGCATTACACTGATTTACGAGTGTTTTTGTCATGAATTCCTAATTTCATACAATTTTCAGGATTGTTTTTAATGCTTATATATAGCCCTTCCTTTTTATATTTATTTAGTATTATTTTATTATTATCTACACTTACGGGGTGAGCAAAAATTCGGGTACCCAGAATTGGAATCGGAACCGGTTAGGAACCGGCGGGTCCGGAATCGGAATTGGACTTGGTGGTTCCAATTCCGGGTAATAAATTAAGGACCCGGTTAAAACCAATTCCAATTCTCAACTTTTTGGAATCGGAACCGGTTGGATACCCAATTACCTAATATATGCTAAACTAAATAAAATTTAAATAATAAAAATATGTTGAATGTATCTAATTTGTAAATTAAAAATTATTATTAATACCTAACATAAATACAAATAGCTTAATGCCTATATAAATATAAGTATGAAACGCTAAAAATGAACCTAACTAAAATAAGAATTATAATTTGTATTATATTTTAACAATTACATACATAAGTGGGTACCTGGAACCGGAACCGGTACCCGATGGTTCCAATACCAATTCTTAAATTTTAGGAACCGGTTGAACCAATTCCAATTCCAGATCCGAATTAGGACCCGTTTCCAACCAATTCCAAGTCCGGGTCCTAAAATTTTGACCGGGTATCCGGTTTGCTCACCCCTATCTATACTTTATATTTGTTATATATTAAAAACATTCCTAAAACAAAATATGTGCCACGTATAACTAACCTTTTTAAGCACGACCAACAAATAGTTTTAAGTTACAAGTCTTACCTTCTTAGCTATTCATTTTTTGTGCTTTTCTATCAAACAAAGTTATATAGTTAAGTTGGATTAGATAATAAGTGTTTACAAATCTTTTTTTAAGTCATGAAATTTTGAGATGATCATCAACACACTAACAAAAACACAGTCAAACATGATTAGCAAACTAAATACTACCTTCGCTACATATTAGTTGCAACTTTGGAGTATTATTTGTGAGACATAAAATACTCCAAAGTTGCAAATAATTTGTTACGGAGGTAGTAATTACAAATTAGCATACCGGGGCATCGTTCGGGCTACACTCTAGTTATATATATTGATAAACGTTCCTATATAAACGTTTATGTGCAACGTAGATCTACCATGTCACGTCATAAAAAACATCCTACAAGTTTCGAACACTAAACCTTATGGATATCATATTTCTTACCATATTAATATGT